GGGGGGGTGAGAGGGGTGGAAGGGGGATGGGCCCACTGGCCTGAGCCAGGACCCCTAGGAGGGGACAGGGACACAGCTGTCGACACCAGCTCTGGTCGACCTGCCTTTGCAAAGGACGGCGCTTTGGGCAAACAACCCCATCCCTCTACCGTCAGCCTCTTCCCCAGGAGCGTGAGCTTTGGCCTGAGAAGGTCATGGACTCGCTGGGCACCCGCTGCCCAGGCGTGAAACAGGCTGGGACCCAGCAGGGAAACTGAGGGACGAGGGTGGACACCAGGCCACTGGCCGTGCAGAGCCACTCACATGTTGTTGACGTCGGTGCCGGCAGCTTTCTCCAACACCTCATCTGTCACCTCCAGGCCCGCGGGGAACTGGGGGTGCTGTGGAGAGAACCCCACCGAGCTTCAGCTGTGCGGGTGGCCTCACGCGGGGCCCATCCCCTGCTCCCGCGGACTGTGGCCCGTGCAGGCGACTGGGGAGCTGCGAGGAGGGGCGCACCCGGCCAGGACAGACAGGCTGCGGGAGGCCAGGGCAGGGGGAGGCCGGCCCCACATCCACGGGAACACCCAGAAGTTCTAGGAGCTTCCTCATGTCCCAGCCTCCTTGTCTTCCCACTGGTCACGGTTAGGACAGGAAGGTGAGCGGACAGACCCACGGACAGGGCAGGTTCCACCCTCGATGTGCCCAGACGTCACAGAGGGAAAAGCCCAGGGGTCCCTCAGCCCCACAGCCGCCCGAGGAAAGCACCTTGAGGTGGAAGGAGATCTTGGTGAGCAGCAGTTTGGTGTAGACGTTCACCAGCTGTCCGTACCGGTCGTGCAGATGCCCCTGTGGGAGGACAGCCAGGGCAGGGTCCCCTCCTGTGAACACGCCGAGAGCCAACCTCCCCCAGCCCCAGTCACCTCTTCATCCAACAACGTCCCCTCCAGCCTCCACCAGCCGCCCTCTTTGTCTCTAGCCTTCCCCTTAATCTTGCTCCTTGTCGTTCTTGCCAAGGAAACTCTCATGGGAAGAGAGCTCTCCGTGCAGGGCACCGGGCCACTTCCAAGCAGGGACACTTTATTAAAGTGCTGGTGCACGGCCTGCCCACGTCCTCCAACACTGCGTCCCCTTGGCCACGCCAGCGGGGCCTCGTCTGCAGAGGGCACCATGGCATGGTTGCCTCACTCAGAGGACACGGGGTCAGCCTCCCTGTGGGTCCCTGTCCGGGGCCGCCCTGCTCCTGTGCCCGGCAGACAAGCACCCTGGCCCCGTCCCACCCAGGGCGCCTCTAACTCCTGAGGGTCGCACAGCGGGTCCAGCCACGGGCGCCCTGGGCTCTACCGTGTCTAAGAACCGTCCAGCAAGTGTGCTGAAAACACGGATTCCCAGACTTGATTCGAAAGCAGCCAGTCTGGGGGAGCCGCGAGCTGCGCCCCTGCCAGGGCTCTCTGACCACCACTGCGATGCCAGCTCAGGCTCTAGTGTCGCCACAGTCCCCAGCTCGGGGGCACGAAAGGGCCTGGGTGATTTCTGCAGCTGGAGGCCCCGAGAGCTGCGTGCGTGGAGTGTCCCGTGCCTTCCACACGGCAAGGCCGCAGCACCCAGCACTGCCACCGACTCGCCCACGGCTGCCCCAAATACTCCACCCTGGCTCCGCTCAGAGAGAGGAGCAAAACCCAGCCACCCACAGGGAGCTGCTGTCACCCAGCCCCGAAAGCTCATGAGGCCCCGAACGCCAAGCAGCCTCGACCGGACCCCCGGGAGGCGGCACCTTCGCCGCGGCACCTACCCACAGCTCTCCGACCTCCCGGATGTTGCTCCGGTACCGCTGGCAGTCGTGCAGCACCTGCAGCAGCGGGGAGAGGGATGAAGGATCCAGGACCTCGTGGGCAGGGGCCTGAGGCCCTCGCTCCCCATGGAGCGGGGAGGGGGAGGGTTGAGGCAGAGGGCAGGGCCAACCCAGCACCACAACGGCAGACACAGGGACGGGGCCGCGCATGTGGACTGGATGCTGTTCCACCTTCCCGGGCCCCCCGCCTTCTGCGCTACTCACGTTGGGGTGCCCGTCCCGGAGGACCTTGTGCAGGACGTGGCAGAACTTCCAGCTGAGGATGGCGCTGCTGGGCAGCGGCAGCCCGATGGCGTAGGACCAGAAGGTGAAGGCCCCCTTCTCGTGGTGCGTGCCCAGAATGATGCCTGCAGGGTCAAGGCCAAGCGCGGGAGGCAGAGACGCAAGCGTGGGGCAGCTAAGGGCCCCGGTGTTCGGCCAAAGGGCACAGGGGTCAGGGCGAGACACAGGGCAAGGTCGTGTCCCAGGACTCTAACTGGGCCGACGTGGCATTCCCGTGGTGACGCTCAGAGCCTCGAAAGGGGTGAGCCACACGGGGGGCCTGGCGGGGCGCAGGCCACAGAGAAGATGCCCCGCCCGGATCAGGGCCAGGACCTCCAGACCCTGGTGCAGGGGCCCCAGCGCTCCTGCCGAGAAGCACTGCTCCCTGACCCCACCGCACCCCCACCCGACGCCCACCACTAGCGGAGCAGGTGGAAGGATACGCCGTGCGTGCTTCTCCTTCACGGGGGCCTCCTGGCTGTTGATGGCTTTGCTGATGCTGATGGCCTGTGGGGGGAAGGAGGCAGCGTTCAGGGCCCCCTGGGCCTTCCCAGGGAGAGACCACCCCAAAGGGGAAAAGGGCAGCACAGAACAGGATTCTGCCACGGCTAAGGTGGGTGTGGCGATGGGGGGAAGGGAGGAATCCCCCCACCCAAGCAGACCAAGCCCCTGAAGAACCTCCCTTTACCGACCCTGTGCAGCTAGAACCACAGCCACCAACCCCGCCCAAAGCCACCGGGGCACCTCGGGGTCTAGGAAATACCGACAGAAGCTGGGCTGTGGCCCCAGGGGACCACTCTGTCTGAATCCACATGAGGAGCACTCCCAGGAGGTGAGGTCCCCTGGTCCCAGGCGTGGCCAACGTGGCCTCCTCTGCCTGTCTCCCCGCTGGAAGCCGCCCAGACCAGAGCCCTCACTCGCGCTCCATGACGGACGCGTGTCCTCCCCACTCTCCCAGAGGCGGGGCCGGGCAGTGTCGCGGCTGATGGGCTCCACACGGCACTCCCAGGAAACCAGGGTGAGCCGCAGTGGGTGGACAGGGCCCTGGACAGACAGACACTGAGACGAGGCCGGCGGCTCCCGGACAGCCCTGCCGGGGCAGGCAGGACCAGGAGGCACAGGCCAGCCCGCGCCTGGCGGGGCAGGGGGCAGGGCCGGGGCAGCGCGGTGCGCTCCTTTCTCTCCCTCGAGGCCACCACGCTCTCCCCCTCTGG